TCCGCGCGAACGGCCGCGCCAGCACGCTCGTGAACGGCGCGCGGCGTGATCTTGGAACTTCTCGTGTACGTACGTACGTCCCACCTCCTGCCTGCCATCTCTACCCTCTAACCCGACGACGACCCGAGAAGACGGAGTGTTAGAAACGGGGCGGTGGGGAAACTATCTCGGACCGGTCCGGAACTTTCCGCGGAGGCGCAGCAACTATTCCGAGCGGAGCCGAGGCGAATTCATACGCACCGAACTTGCTCAGGTTCGCCGCGCGCGTGCCAGAGCGAGTCGCTCTTGCTTCTCGCGCTGCTGAGAAACGCGCGACGGCTGGGAGAAAGAGAACAAGGAAGACGGAGAGAGAGAGAGAGAGAGAGAGAGAGAGAGAGAGGGAGAGCGCGCGAGACAGAGGCTGATAGGTAGACGGACAGAGAAACAGACAGACAGACAAACAGACAGAGACGGCGACTGGGGGGGTGTGGTGAAGCGGAGTGGTGAAAGGGGGCGCACAGGAGAGAGAGAGCCCACTGGCTGAGTTCCGGACCGTCTGATGCCGGATTACATCAAACTGGCATAACACACATCCGCCACGGCTAGCTGACTGGCGAACTTGCCGCTCTCGAGACTTCGCCCGGAGATTCTCCCCGCTCGTTGGAGAGGAAAGCCGGCCGGGGTAATTGCATCTATCCGAGCATGCCGTCAGAGACGGCAGATTGCGGACTTGGCCAACTTCGGACCACGACGATGCCGAGACCCGTTCGCTGTTTCTCTCCTCCTTGGCGCACCTCGCCACCACCCTTGGCCGCGCCCCCCACCCAGCTCGGTTCACCCCCGCCGAACGTCACGACGGTCGGGGATCACGTCGGCGTGTATAATCGGGCTTGCAGCCGTGATTCTTATGCTAATTCCCGGCGAAATGAAGAAAGCCGCTCGTTAGCCGCGCGAGAGCAGCTCGCTGATTGCGTGGCGCGACTATCGGCGTCGATTGTCGAAGGGTGTCGGCGACCCTCTCACCCTGACGTCAGCAGCGCGACGAGCCGTGTCCGGATAAGATCCTCTTCCGGCTGATGGATCAGGAAGGGTGAGAGACGAGAAGAAAGAAAAGGAGAAAATTGGGCGTGCAGGTTATCGCGTTTCGCGACCACGCGATTTGCCGTAGTCGTCACGCGTTGACGTCGAGCTTTGCTTTCACAGCGGGAACGCCGCGCCGGCCGGCTGGATATTTCTCTCGGACAAGTAAGCCCGCTCGGAGAAGTAGTTACGAGGGCTGTAGTAGGCCGGCTGGCTCCGAGCCTGCCGCTCCTTCAGAACCCCGGCAGGCGAAAGTTAGGGGTCAAACGACGGGGCGACGGTCGCAACGGCGATTGTGCGATCAATCGACCGTTTCGCTTCGCGGAAGGACAGTCTTTCCGAAGGACAGTCTTCGTGTCCGGGGGTCTATAGCTTCTACTTCGCGGAAGACATTCCGATTTCCATAAGCGACGTCCGGCGGAGACGTTTAAACGACGCCAGACCAAACGCGGGTAATCCACCGTCAAAGCGCACGCGAGCAGACGATCCAATAAACGATCGACAGTGCGGAGCATCCCTTTGACGTGTGTTCATACATGGCTAGGCGAATCCTCCTTTTGGGGGGGGGGGGACCGTCGCCGGCTGATGGGCGAAGCGACTTGTCGTCCGACAAGTAAGGAACACACACACGCACACACACACACATACACGCGCGCGCGCCAAGTGTACAGGTGCACGATGCACGCACACTCATACCATACACACGCAGTCGACCGCGTCGGAGCAATCGAGAAGAACACACACGCACACGAACACACACACACACTCACACCCACGTACGAGCTGCCTCCCTGAGCAATGTGGTCGCAATTTACGAGCACTCCGCGTGCACACCCACGATCGCAAGACGTCACGAGCGCGCGCACACACACACACACACACACACACGTCCACGTGACGTGCACAAACACACGCGCGCCGCGGACTCGTTCTCCTTACCACCCCCTCACCGACGTAGACTTTGCGGCGCGGAGTAGGAGCCTGCGGAGGGAAAATCCTTTGGCCAGCGAAGCTTGGATAATCGCGCTCCCAGCTATAGTCGCGCCTCTCACCGTCGCGGTAAGGGCGCCGCTGGGGGAGGTGGAGAAGAGGGTGGTGGCGGGCGCGGTGGAGGAAGACGGGACGGGAGGAGGAAGGGGGAGGGCGAAAGCTCGCTTTGCTGCAATAGCAGCCTGCCCATCCACGTGGAAATCATAGCTCGCTGCGGGAGCCATCGGGACTCGAAATTGTCCGGAAACGCTTGCCGGGCTGTTCTCGGCGGAGTCTTCTTTTCTCTCCCTCTCCCTCCTTCCCTTGAAAAGATAGAAAGAGGGGCAGGGAGAGAGCGAGAGAGAGAGAGAGAGAGAGAGAGAGAGAGAGAGAGAGAGAGAGAAAGAGTGAGTGAGTGAGTGAGAGAGGGTGAGACGACTGCCTGCCGGCTGCCTCTTCGGGGATTTGGGCGTAAAGAGACCTCCCGGAAGATTGCCCGAGGATCTCTTTGTAATTCGATGGCGACATTCGAGAAGAGACGCGGCGCGTCGATCGGACGCAGATCGAAATCGGGGCCGCGTTTAAGGAAATGTTACGAGTGTCGGGGCAGGAATTTGGGACTGCATAACCCTATCGGGAGAATGATCGTCGATATTGTTAAAGGAGCGCTGCGTCGTATCTTGTCGACGCGTTGTCGGATTTGCGAAACACGTTCGGCGCGATCGCGTCGCGGCGACGGGAACGGGCCGGAGGGAAGCTTCGATATAGGGAGGAAAATGGCGCGACAGTGAAGAAGAAAGTTGTCGCGCGCTGGTTTGACACTCGGAGCAGAGTGATCGGCGACGTTAGTCTGAACATTCGCGCGAGCTCGGTCGATGCTTTCTTTTCAGCGGCGTCTCGCGATTGTAGCCGCGCAGCCGGCGCTTGAAAGCTGCGGGGCGCGAGGGAGATGGTCGGGGGTCGTAAGGAAGACGTCTGCGAAACGTGTCCTGAAAAGCATGAAGATTTATACGCGCGTAGGTTCCCTCGATCGAGACGAGAGCGCGCGCGTGGCCGAGCAGCCGATCGGGAAATATCGAGTGCGCCGTAATAAATATCCCTCCGCGCGCGCGCGCGCGCGCGCGTGCGAGTACCCCGCCTGAAATTTCTCACGGTACGTCTAGCGCAGAATCCGAGAATGATCCCCTCAGGGGTCAGGGACCGGGCGCGAAAGTGCCATATCGCGGAATCTGCCGGCAAGCAGCAGCGCGCTGGTAGCAGCAGCGGCGACGGCGGCGGCGCCAGCAGCCGAGAAAGCTCGAGGTTTGAGGTTCGCAGACTCTAGTCGTACGGGGACGGTATTGGATGTCATCACGAGAGAGATTACGTGCGGCTTTGAAAGAGCCCCCTATCTCACTTCCACTTGCATTCACCCTTCTTCCCCCGCGCTCGCTATCCACTACCGTCGCCGTCAGCTACTCCTACACCACCTTACCCTGCCGTGTTCGCCCGATCTCGTGTGGCGCACCTTCGACGCATCGCTGTCCCTACCAACCTACCAGCCAGTCGCGCGACCCTCTTCGACAACTCAGCCGGGATAGAAGAGAGAGAGAGAGAGAGAGAGAGAGAGAGGGGGAGCCCCCTTCAGCAATGGCACTGAAGGGAGCCAGCTCTCATATCCCATTTGCCCCTATTTTTCATAAGCGATATTAGAATCTATCACCGAGGCCCGGGCAGGCGCGCTCGCCTTCGCTCCTCGAGGAGGGAAAGAGGGGAGAGGGAGGGGTGTGAGAGAGGCCAAGGTGGCGGGTATAGCGATAAAAAAGATAGAGAGACTCTCCCGATTATCGAAGGGGTGGGGTACCGCGATCGCTGACGATTATCGACCCTATTGAGGCAGCGACGTGAATGGATCCAGACTAGCGGGATCGGAAACCCCGGATATGCTCTCTCTCTCTCTTTCTCTCTCAACGACGATGACGACGCGAGGCGAGGCGAGGCGAGGCGAGGCGAGGCGAAGCGAGGCGCGACGCGGGGCGGGGCGAAGAAGGGCTTGAGAGTCGAGCTGCCCTATATATTATCCCAGCCGCGCGATATTTCATTCATCGCGACCTCTCGATCTCCTCCACCTTTCCTCCTCTCGTAGCCTCCAGTCGATTTTCAATTGGGCATGCGCTCCTCGCGCGATCTCGATAACGTTTCCATCCCGCTCCTCCTCCTCCTCTTTCTCATCCCTACGGTTAGCAAAGTGCCGCGGAAAAATTTCCCGAGCGCGCTCGCATCCTGTCTGGAATCGAGGGTCTTTAATCTCGCGATCATCTGCCGATTCTACATCGGGTTATCGCGGAAACGTCGAGGAACACGGGGCGCAAAGACAACGGGATCGAGACAAGGTGAGAGATGAGAGGTTCTCGCAGCGCGTCTCTCTCTCTCTCTCTCTCTCTCTCTCGGATTCCCTCCGATTTATGTTTCGTAAATACTGCACGGAGACGTTAAAAATGAGTTCTCGGCGCGCGGCTTGGAATCCCTCGAGATTTCCAAGGCAGTCGCGATGATGTTTTCAGCGGCGTCTGCGTCGTTTTTTCTCCCCTTTCCTCCTCTTTGTTCCCTCCGCAGTACGTGCGCGCGCGTGCACCTTGGTCACGTCGGTCGCGATAATTTCTCCTTTGCGGCTATCGATTCGCGGCTCGTGAATTCGCAAAATACCATTACGATTTGTATAGACAGCGCGAGCGCGCACCCCGAAATTTATGTTATTTATCTTTCCTCGTATTTGCCGCGGCTCGCGATTTACAGTGATTACTAATTATAGCCTCAACTCGGCTCGTTAATTACCCCGCCGGCGGAATAGCGACATTATTGACTCGTTAAACAGGATAGCTTCGGATATATTTCCGGGGGCGCGTTTGCATGCACGTCCAAGTTGCCGCGCGATTCTATGCCGGCGCGCGATTATCTGCGCGACGTTTTCGGAAATGCGAGCGCACACTTACCTCTATGCCTGTTGGTTTGCTTGTCGAACATCAGCATGGCATCCTCGATCTGAAATGCAAAGCGGAACACTTGGTCAGATCGAGAGGTATCGCTGCGTCAGAGCGAGGCGCGTAGATTTTCGGCTTTGATCCGCTCGGGGCTTCAAAGCTTCGCGCGAACGCGCGACATTTCTTCCTCCGGCGTAATTACGCCCGGGGCCTCTCGCGTCTCTCCATCTTCGCCGGCGAAATCAATCGCGGCGGCGGAAATTCTTTTCCGAATAATTCGCCCGTCGAAGCTTCTACGAGCGATTCGCGCTCGCGCGCCGATGATTGCACGATGATTATGGATGAATTATTAACCGCCTAGGTAGCCGGATTAATTATGTGGCTCTGGTATAATTATTAGATGACCCGATCGCAGCGGGTATCATCATAAATGAATAATGACGCTTCAGTTGGCAGGCCGACAATGCAAATGGCCGACTTCTCCGTCCACGTTAGAAGCCGATTTACCGCGCGCGCGCGCGTTAAAGTTTCACATTCCGCCGACATCATTTCCGCGCTCGGTGGAATCGATCGGCTGTCGAACGCGTGCAAACACATCGCGCGCGAGTACATCCGCTCGCGATCGAAGTGCAGCCGCGGGTGATTGATTTTTAAGCGGTGTTCCGCGCGCGCGCGCGCGCGCGGCGCCGGTCAAATGACGAATAAAATCCTCCTGTATCCTTACGAGAACTGCGTACGTGTCGTAAAGCACATCTGGCCAGAGATTTACGAGGCGTGTTGCTGCGAAAGGCGAAAGGGGGACGCTTGGGAGAGGGGGGTGGAGGGCGGAGGATAGCGGTGGACGGCTCGGTACGTTGTCGGTGGTTGAAGCGCGCGAGCGAAGCGCTCCGGAGAGGCGTAGGAAGAGCTAGTAGGATTTATGGGACAAGAGAAACAATAGGGATTACCCTTACCCCCTTCGTCGTTCCGCAAGTTCGCTCCTTCCTGCTCTGACTCTCTCTCTGTCTCTCTCTCTCTCTCTCTCTCTCTCTCTCTCTCTCTCTCTTCCTCTCCCTCTCTTTCCGCTCCCTCTCTTTCTCTATCTCTTTCCCTCTTTGCGCGGTGGAAGCTATCGATGGTCCGCGGCGTTAGAACAGCGCGCGCGATATTCTTTCCGTGACGTTTGAATAACCGCGCGAATTCTCACGTGTTCGGGACGGACACGCCTCGTCTATTTTTCATAAACACAATTCTCACTGCGTGAGAACGTAGCGCACACTCGGAGAAAAAAGTCAAGCGGGTCTAACAAGATCGAGATGCAAGGAGCGGAGACATGAAGGTACAATAATTTCGCAGCTACGATCGGGAAGATCCTCGGTGGTCGGCTTGACGCTAAATGCTAAATGCGCGCGCGGTAATGACAGTCTCTCGTCAGACGCTGTCCCGTTCTATCTTGTCGTCGGGCCTCGTAATAAAATTTTAATGAAATCCACGCGCTCACAATCCGCGCCGCGTCGCACCGCGCAGCGACGAGGAAGTCGCGGAAAAAATGCCGGGGGAATCGAGTGTCTTAGCTGACATTTGTCGCGACTTTTCTTCTCCGTGGGATGACACGCCCTTTGCGAAGGGGTCGACGACGACGATGACGACGACGGCGATAGAGGCGAAAGGGAGAATGAAGGGTCGGTAGTACGGGCTTTTAATGAAAACGCAAGAGGCGTCACGGCGTAAGACAAGATCGCGTCGGCGGACGGAGAAGCCTGCCGTGTCGTTGCTTATGCTTTTCTGTCTCCTCCTCTTACAAAGTGCATGTCCTTTTATTATTCCTTAATGTTGCAGCCTTTACTGCGGCCGTTGTACCGATGTATTTCCAGCGGTTGAATCACTCCATCTCTCTCTCTCTCTCTCTCTCTCTCTCTCCCCTTTCTCGTTTTATACCACGAATTCTCTCGCGTCGCTGTTTAGCGACTAGCACCGAAAAGATTTTGTCGTTTCGATCGTCGTTCTTTTATTTCGCGACTCTGTTAGCGTTTTAGCCTAAGGTGACGTCTCCAGGCGCGGATCTTGTCCTTGTCGTCTCGTAATCCCCTCCTTCGATCGGTAGTTTGTAAGCTCTTTGCTCTCTCGTTCAACATCGTATTTCATCTTGATCCCCGAGTCCCTATGGGCGAGAAATCTCTCTCTGTCTCTCTCTCTCTCTTTCTCTCTCTCTCTCTCTCTCTCTCTCTCTCTCTCTCTCTCTCTGTCTCTCTCTCTCTCTTTCTCTCTCTCTCTCTCTCTCTTTCCTGCTCGGGAAGGACACTTAGTTCCTCGCGAGCGAAATGCACGCTCGATGCTGCCGCGCATTCTGTTGCTGTCTCCCCTGCTCCCTTTCCGCGCTCTCTTGGGCGCGCGCGAGCCTTCGTAAAATGGCAATCGCGAATTCTCCTAATTATCTTGAATAATTATCACGGGTCGCAATGCAGTTTTGTGGGTTTCGCGTATATCGCTGCATTACAAGTATCTATTTCCTGTGATATGTAATATTCAGCGCGCGCGGCGCATTATGCATCCACGTATTTACTTCATTAAAAATACATTGCCCGGATGTTCAATATTGATTCTATATAAATTAATATAATTATTGTATGGTGCATTACCAGTGACATCGAGCACGAGAGATAACCGTATATTGCACAAAATGCTTGTTATTTGTTGCACCCTCTGCTCGCCCGCGAGTTGATTTTACGCTCTATGAATATCTCTTTCCTTCCCGTCGATCTCTCGCTCGCGCTCTCTCTCTCTCTCTCTCTCTCTCTCTCTCTGATAAAAATGGCGATTCAACTTTCACGTGTCCTCGGACGCGACACGGTGCGGCCGGAGATAAAGATAAAGCGACAAGCGCGACCGACGGGCGGAATTGCTCGTCGACTGCATTAATCGGGAATCGCGCAAACGCAAGGAAGATACGCGCGCACTTTTTTCTCTATGACGGTCTACTTTCAACAAGTGGAATCAGCACTCCGACTTTCGAGGGGAGAATAATTGGGTCCGTCGAGGATGGGAATCCTTGTTTGCACGCAGATTGAAATTCCGAGGACGCGCATCCGCGTAACTTTAAGGAAATAGCGATAACAGGAGGATGTAACGCGAAGCGGACCTTGTAACTTCGATCAAACTTCTTCCCTTTGCGTGAGCCCGGAAAATACGAAGTACGGAAAGGTTATCGCGGAAAAGGGCGCGCGGCCAGGGGCGGGGATGGGGAAAGAGAACGAGGAGAACGACTACGACTACGGAGAGCGCGACGAGAGAAGGAGGCGCCGCCCGTGAGGCAAGAAGGAACAGGGGGAACGGGAGGAGAGGGAGGAGAAGCGGATGGAAGACAGGAGGCGGCGGCGGCAGCGGCGGCGTCGTCCCCGAGGGGCAATCGAGTTCTGGTGAGTGGGCGAGACGTACCTTATTACAAGTTCGATTCCAGCAGTGTTACAGCTCTCGGTGGACCGAGCTGTAGATTGCTGTCTTACTGCCCTCGCCCTTTATATCGCGAGCCTCTCCCGTCCCGCCGCCCCGCTCCACTCGCGAGGGAAGGACCGCGTCATTTCCCTCGGCACCCCTCCGCCGGATTCGCATCGCCGCCGGGCCCGCGTTAGAGAGCTTCCCGTTTGACTGACTAATTCCAAGGGGTGCAAAAGTGGGCCAGCGGAACACCCTCCCCCCCCTTCGCTTTTCCGCTTTTCTGTTCCTCGCGCGTTCTCCGCGCCTTTCGACCCCCGTCAGATTCTCGACGTCGCGAATTCGTCTCCTCGTATTATCCGCAGGACCAAAGTCGACTCGAGTTTTTCTTTTCCCTCTCTCTCTCTCTCTCTCTCTCTCCCTTCCTCATTCTCTCTCGCTGTCTTTTGCGCCAGCTCCCCTGCGCAATTGCGCGCGATGTCAGAGCGCCCCGTGGATCTCATTCTCGTCGTCGTGCGAGAGCTCATTATAATTTCATTAGGTCGCGCCGTTGCGCCCGTCGCCACGCTCAGTCGCCAGCGGCGAAAGTGCATTGAGACCTCAATTGAGATTACATCGTAATCCTATTCATAGGTTAGTTCTAGGGTATCCTCCGGTCGAGTCTCAGCCGACAAGCAATACGTTGCCGTTGCGTGGAAGATGGAGTGGATTGTTAAGCTTGCCGTGTACCGCGCGAACATTCAGAGCCGCGCTGTAATTTTCATATCACGCGTACGGAGTTGTGTCGGCCGAGCCGCATTGTCGCTTTATAATTACCTGCGCCCGGCGTTTCGATATTGTTCCGGCTGTGTAGAGAAGGACAGGTTCGACCATAAGTCCTTCGAACGCACGACGCGCGTCTACGACGGACGCGAGTCAGCTTCGCGTTGCAAGGTACCTGCTGATTTTAAATCGCCGTCCATGCCCCCGTTGAATGTCGAGGAAGAGGCGAGAGGATATATTTACTCATGGACGCGCGCATGAATTATTATTGCATCCCGTAATCCGTTTTATTGGCGCTCCATTGTGAAATAACAGAACCGCCGGTGCGCTTGGCTCGTATTTCCGACGCGCAATTACACGCGATAAAGAGCTAGCCAAAATAACGCGCTGAAAATTCTCATTTTTCCGCGCTAATGATCGTTATTAACGAGCATTATCGAGAAGGAAATGCCAGCTGCTGACCCCTTTCGCGATAAAATAGCCGCGCGAATAAAAGTAAAATCGTTGCGAAACACCGAGAATCGCGCGAAATTCAAATGCGCGCGCGAGAGATATGTCGCTCCGGCGCATAAATATTATCCTTCCCGTCCCCTCTCGCGGGGAATATTTTTAGGCTTTTATTTCCCTCGAAAATATTGTAAGGAGCGTTAAAAACAAAAAAAATATGCATATGTGTGTGTGTGTGTGTGCACATACATAAGCACACACACACACACACACGGCGCGCGCGCACACCCGCCGCGCCGTTGCCAATAATGCCGCTCGGCAAACTTTACAGTCTCTATTTGCAATTCATCTGTTGATTTTATCTTGCGTTCCATTGGATTTCGCTCCGCCGCTAACATTTTCCGATTTGCCTTTACATTTCACGGTAATCCCTTGGGGACG